CTTATTAAACTTAATTGACAAACACTTTTAATCACAAGAACCCTCTATAAAATCTTTTTAATAAAAAAAATCCGTCTGCAAATTACTTATACCTGCACCAAAAACATACTGAACATTATTAACTTGCACACAACAGCCAAACACTAAAGGCATTTTTTGACGGCAAAACAATAGAAAACATGCTCTCTTATAATTGTAGAACCAGGACCAACAAACTAGTTGGACGAATCAGTACTTCGGCAAATGTGTTATATCTAGCTACTATTTTTCTGAAAGAAAAATATTAATGATAAAAAAAATGTACATAGGAATATCTACTGGGAATTAGAAACATTAAGACACCAAACTGCTCTAAGGCCTTAATATGCCTTTGATAGGTGGTCCACGCCGCTTCAGGAATATAAAAGGACGGTTACGACAACTGTTTCGTAGATGCCGATCTTTGTGCGTAAGGAGATTTTATGATCAGACCGTACACTCTTTACAAGTTTTCTGGATGCTTGACTCGTTCAGTGCGGTAATTCACTTCTGCTTCCAGTAAGCCAGCCCTAGAGAGTGCACTGCGTAAGTAAACAAAAGTGTCAATTACCTGCAGCCAGTATTCTTTAACGAAAATGTTGGGTTGTATTTAAAGCGGTCCAGGTGGAGGTATGTACATGACTTTTATCATTTTCAGACATATGTTAACCCCAAAGCAGTACAAGATCCCTAGAAATGGTCCATTATCACCTGTAGGTCATCATCACTGTGAACAACAAAAGCAACATCAGAATACAGGAGTTCACGAATAACCAATTGGAAAACCTTAGATCGCGCGTTGAATCGTCTCAGATTAAAAACCTTCACATTTGGTCTGAGATGAAGATAAACGCCAACATCAGAGTTTGGTATGAGATATATAAAGAATTAATTAATTATTGTTACAGAATACGTAGGCTAAGGCCATAATGGCTAGCAATTGAGATGTATTGCCTTTTTCTGGGTTTTGGAAATGTCCAAAGCGACCCGTATTCAACATAGAACCACAGCAATTTTGAAGCTTCGGTACGCCTCCCACATTTAAGTTAGCGACCGGCTAAGACCACTTGCGGAGGGACACTGAGCCAACGTGTGACATGCTTTCCTGTGCGATCATTCCTCCAGATGCCTCTTAAAATCCATGATTCGCTCCTAATAAAACAAATAAGAAAATGAAATCGGCCTGTTCGTTGATATTCTTTTATGTGGTAGTGTGGAGGACCCAGAGACGACACAGAATGCAAATGATTCTTGTTGCTGAGACAATATTAATAGTTTGTTTCTTTGAAATAATCTCTCTCTTTCTCTATCTATCTTTCTCTCTCTCTCTCTCTCTCTCTCTCTCTCTCTCTCTCTATCTATCTATCTATCTATCTATCTATATATATATATGTATCTAAATAAAAAGAAAGAACAGTAAGATATATAATCCGGTGTTCTTATAGATATTTTTATTTTTACAAAATAGTACTCAATGTAAATTTACAGAGCATTAATATCATAAATTAATTGATTTAAAATATGTTTTTTTCCGCTACACAGTTCTAACCATGTTTCAAAAATGGAAGCTAAAAGCCACGAATTTCATTTTACAATTAAATTAAAGACATTAGTTCCATTTCATCCTCAAGCGAATTTTGGAGTAACTTTTAAAATTACTGGGTTTTAAAGACACAGCTAAAATCACGTTTCGATGGTTACAGATAAATCTACTTCAATTGGACAAGGGTTGTCTGGGTTTATATATATATATATATATATATATATATATATATATATATATATAGAGAGAGAGAGAGAGAGAGAGAGAGATAGAGAGAGAGAGATTATTTCAATATATATATATATATATATGTTGGTTGCCATCTCGTTATCGAGTATGGCCCTCACACAGCATTACGCAAAGTCTCGCCGGTACTACGCACAAGTATGAATTTTAAGCCAATGATTTACATTGTTTTCTCCAGACTCGGTAACGATGACCAGCCACAATATGAGGTACGTTTTCTGAAATTTGATTGCCATGAATCTTCCCAAACATTGTGCAATGCTTGTGAATGAAAATTTTTAATCAATAAAATAGATGACATCAACGTTTGCTAGTGTGCTTCAATGTATTACAGCAGTGTTTTCCTTCACTAAAGACGATGTCCTAACAAGGGATAAGGGGGTCTCTCTTTCTCTCCCAATGGTTCTTGTTTTATGGCGTTGGTTGTGTCGATGAGTAACCTTCATCCACCGGATTCACTACTTACCCATAGCTGGGGCGGATGATAAGTGTGCTACAGCCTCGAGTCAGAGTGGACTGGGGAAAAACGGCAATTAAGAGGTTGTTCCACGCTTCAAACCTAAAATCTCCTGAGCTTGCTGCTTGTTTATCCTTATATCTAGAACATACGTACAACGAAATTATCAAGTCATCAGATGTCCTAAAGATTGCGTTGAAGCATGAAACAGACTGATGCCACATGGTGTTGATCTGCGTGTCCACCTTTATATTTGTTTACATACGCTCTTTTTCTGATACTGAGAACTTTATATATATATATATATATATATATATATATATATATATATATATATATATATATATATATATATATATTTGTATGTATATATAACAGTAAGAGGTTATAGTAGTCCCAACGAGAGAAAAGTGTGTATATTAAAAAGGAGAAACCGCAAGCGTTTTTGGTTGTAATATACATTTAAAAAAAAAACATTATGCTTTATTTTCCATAATTTTAATACACGCGTTTCCGGTCTCGTGACCGTCATCAGGCAAAGGGTGGAAATTTCCACATATTATTAAAAATAATTAATTTTTTTCTTTATGTTTTTCGATGTTAAATATTCTCGATATGCGACATTCTCTTTTTTGTGTTAATGATCCAAACGTCTTTCTTGAACTGGCAGTGAAAAGTTCTGCGTGAAAGGTTATAAAACAATTAAGATTGGCTCGAGAAATGATGGAGTAGTTATAGGCATGCTTATCCTTTAATGACCCTTGCGTAATTAATTTAAGATTCAAGTTTTTGTTTTGAAACAGTTATTTCGGTGTCGCGATGGATATATATTTAAAAAAATAATTATAATATTCTCTGCTGTGTATCGAGCACTATTTTTTTTTTTTTAAATAAATGCTAAAAAACTCTGGATTATAAATCTGACTGTTCTTTCTTTTTATTTTGTTATATATATATATATATATATATATATATATATATATATATATATATATATGATAATATTGTTTTAAGGCATGCGGTATCTATGCCCAAAAGTGCTATAAAATAAATTTCTAATTCCGACACGAACTGTCTCTACAAGTTTTCGTCGGTTGAAATAGATCTGTCCCCACATAGATTTGATTTTAGTCAAGGCCCCTTGGCATGTTCTCTCTGCAACGTCCAATATGACCTCAAAAAATCTTCAATAAATTACGAGAAAAATATCTATAGTATTCCTGTCCAATTATTTAAACTCTATGAGTAGCCAGATATTGAAGTCAGATATCTCAAAACTACAAAAATGTAGATCAAACTTAATTTCCGGTGATGATACATACATGCATACATACACACATATCTATCTGTCTATCTATCTATCTTTATATGAAGAAACAAATCGATAATGGTGTAGGGCAATAGTTTATTAATATCGACTCTCTTTGCTTTCCAGCTTTGGTATTTTTCCTGTCTAATCTTATATTTGCAATTAAATGATTCCTCTAGCACACCATATATATCGTACGCTGTGAGAGGTTATAGGTTATATATATATATATATATATATATATATATATATATATATATATATATATATATGAGAGAGTTTATAGGTCATATATATATATATATATACATATATATATATATATATGACCTATAAACCTATAAATCAGAGAGAAAGGTTATAGTTGTTCCAAAGAGAAAAACGTGTATACTTTAAAGTGAAATGAGAAGACGCAAACGTTTTGGTTATAATATGGATTTTTTAAATGTACATTATAAATATTTTCCATATTTTTGCTACACGAGTTTCCTGTCTCTGGACCTTCATCAGGCAAAGAGTGGTTATTTCCAGATATTATTAAAAGGAATTAATTTTCTTGTGTTTTCCGATGTTTAAACATTGTGTAGTAATCCATATTCTTCTGCTTAACGGGTAATAAAACAATTAGGATTGGTCAGTGAAAGGCGAAGGAAGGAGTTCTTTGTTTTTTATCTTTTTATGACCTCTTTATGCATAATATATTTTTATGATCCCTTTATGACTTTTTATATATAATATATATTTGAAAAATCCCCATTATCACCAAAAACGTTTGCGGCTTCTCTCTATATATATATATATATATATATATATATATATATATATATATATATATATATATAGTAAAATGATTTTGTCTATATGATAAAATTATAATATATATAAATTTTTATCATATAGACAAAATCATTTTACTCCCTACAAAAATGAAACTTGGTTTCAGTGTATTTCATCTCTACTTTGACGGGTGAGAATCGAAAATCGGTATCGAGCCCTCTTTTGGATTCATGCTGTGAACGTTGGAATTTATATATTACTTTCGTTCTCATCGCATCGGATATATATATATATATATATATATATATATATATATATATATATATATATATATATATATATACTGCATTTGATGCAGTATATAACCAACATATATCAAGCAACGGCTGTAAATGAACATATATCTATAAAGCCACGTACAGGAAATACTTTCATTTTTATGCTTGCTTCTGTGCCTCGGATTTCGTGTGAGTTCTCAGTCTCATGACCAGATTAATACCAAGAACTAAGTTATTCATTGTTTTCGAGAACTTTCGTAATACATTTCGTGTGACTTTCTTTGTGAAACGCGTCCAGTTTCCTTTGCCAAACGTCTATAAATATTTAATAGCATAAAAATGGTTTTCAGGAAAAGAATAGAACCTCACAGAATGCACTTCGGTCATCCTGGATTTAAGACTTCCGAAATGAAGTTAACTCTCTGCGACAAACAAAATACGGTTTTTAGTAGCTTTCACCGGCGATTCAGTCATCAATAATTTTCATTTATTCAAAGACAAAGTATCTGATAAAATTATTTTTAAGATTTGTTTCTTTACTGGAAGGACAACTTATTTCAATAAACAGTTCATTTATTAACAAGAATAGTTTCCGGAAACAAAAAAATAATCTTACCACATTTGTCATCGAGACAGTTATGCCATCTCTTTAGAAGGCATAAATATCTCTCACATATTTAGTATGATTGAAATCTATCTATCTATCTATCTATCTATCTATCTATCTATCTATCTATCTATCTATCTATGTCTTCTCATATTAATCAATCTCACTCTAACTATTTTTCTCTCTCTCCCTATGTATCTATGTCGGCACATATCAATTAATCAATCTCTTTATCTCTCACAAACTATCTCTCTACGATTGCTCATATCATTCAATCTCTCCCACTCTCTCTCTGTTTGTATCTATGTTTCGTTTCATACTAATCTATCTATCTATCTATCTATCTATCTATCTATCTATCTATCTATCTATCTATCTATGTCTTCTTATATCAATCAATCTCTCTCTCCCTATGTATCTATCTATATCGGCTCATATCAATCAATCAATTTCTCTCTCACTGTCACAGGTACTATCTATCGATCTATGATTGCTCATATCGAACAATCTCTCCCATTCCCTCTCTCTCTTCTCCATCTCTGGTATCGACTGCTATATAAAAGGACTAATGTTGCATAACATTACAGTACTCCTTTCTTTGTCTCTAACGGAATATTCCTGTTTCTTAGGTTTTGGTAGGCATCTTTCGCTGTCCCAGTGGGCCTTCGGATTTTGATGTCGCACTTGCCGTCCTCAGTTAAAACCAGTTATTTAAAATTGGATATACTAAGACCTTGTTATCTTGAAGCGACTCGCTAATGTTATTGAAACGCTCGTTTCTCTCAAAATCTGTGTTTGATCTCTAGAAGGTTTATGAAAATCCTGTGTAAATATTTCGGGATTTTCTAATAAAGTTTTGGAGTTTCAGGCAAAATTTGATCCCACCGTCGTAAAGATCGCATAGTCGTTTCGATATAGTGTCGCAAACCTTCATGTTCTAATTGGATACTTGTATGTATATAGTAGCCTACTGGAGCACTGACAGAATAGGCTGAATACCAGTTAGTGTTGGCACAGCAAAAAAATTCCATTGAACGATAGATTCACAGCGTTTAAAGTCTATATATATCTATCACTATCTATTCAAATTCATATATGCATCTACAGTATTCCCTGTTATATGAAATAAACAATATTAGTTTATGCGTGATATTAAAGTGATGGTTTCTCATCATGCTTTTCAACGTAAGCGTTAAAAGTTTGCAAGTTTATTGTGCTTTAGTTGTGAATATAGTAGTTTAAACATATCTCCTGTGAATTTCTGGGATGGAGAAATATTTACATTATTTACACTCATTTACAGTAGACTATTCTTATTATCTTTGTTGTTAGTCTTCACAGGAGTATATAAATATTTGTTGTTGACACCACAACGTTTCGGTCGTTGTTACCTCTGTTTTCACAGGTGTATATAAATCTTTGTTGTTGCCTTTACAAAGTTTCAGTCGTTGTTACCTCCGTCTTCACAGGTGTGTATAAATCTTGGTTGTTGCCATCACAAAGTTTCGGACGTTGTCACCACTCATCGTTATTGTTGCTATGACAACGTTCCGATCGATGTTACCTATGGTCTTCACAGGTGTTTATGAATCTTTTTGTTCCCATCACAACGTTTCGGTCGTTGTTAACACTGCTCTTCACAGGTGTATATAAATCTTTGTTGTTGCCATTACAAAGCTTTGGTCGTTGTTCACTCTGGTGTTCACAGGTGTATATAAATCTCTGTTGTTGCCATCACAAATTGCTGTCGTTGTTCACTCTGGTCTTCACATGTGTATATCAATCCGGATAATATACAATAAATTTTGCATCTAATTTACCTAATCTACGAGGAGAGACTTTTCTCTTTGTATTTCTCATGTCTAAGGATACTTTTATCTAGTTATGAGAATTAGAAGATATAACTACACATGGCCAGTGGAACAGTCTACCTCCGTAGATTAGATAAAGATTTTAGTACGAAATTCCTTGTAGCTTACTTGAACCGACATATTTCTGATGAAGCTGTGAAGATAACAACAAAGAAAAGTACAATAATCTGAATGTATATAATACAAATAATATATGTATCTGTCTATATTCATCACAGTGGGGTGGTGAAGTATTCTCAACTCGAACAATTTTCCCAAATCTGACCAAATGATCAAGTATCAGTGTTCTTTTTTTTTGCACCATTTTTTATTCGGTCTAAGAATCGTATGTACGTATGTATCTATGCATGTATTTATGTATATATGCATGTATCTATGTATATGTACTTTTAAAAGACATAAAAAATTTCGTTGATATCCTAAGGTTGGAAACTCAAATTTCATGACAAGAAAATAGAAAGGTGAATGAAGTGAAAAATCGGAAAAATCAAAAAAGCAGCTAACAAATAGCATCGAACAAAAGACAAAAGTGGTAAAAGAAACAACATTCTTACAATAAATTCATTAAATTGTTCTGTTTCTCTTTCAAATTGAAAAGTAAAGTCGTACGAATGTTGACGCCTAAAGAATGAAATATTTCTGCTTTTCAAACATTAATATTGTCTGTCGCCCCAGACAACGAAACTGACTTGTTTTCCGACAAGGAAAGATGCAGTCGACAGATCCATTTCGGGAAAGTATATTGATGATGAGGAATGTCAATCGTTTTTGTCTGCACTTTATGGTGAGTGCACTATTAACATACAGTCAGCATGTTACACGCATACCTATACACACACACACACACACATATATATATATATATATATGTGTGTGCAAAAAAGGAATATAAACGCAATGACTGGCATATTATATATAACACACACACACACATATATATATATATATATATATGTGTGTGTGTGTGAATGCGTATAAACGCAATGACTGGCATATTATAATATAACACACACACACACACACACACACACATATATATATATATATATATATATATATACACTATTTACATTGTTCGGACTCTTGCCCTCACCTTTATTGTCATATTCACGACGTTTCGGCCGTTGTACGTTCCGGCCTTCTTCTTCGTTGGAATTTCGAACCTTTATTTAATCCCTTCGGGTAGATTGTTCTAGTTACAAGTACTATATTATCTCCGTTTCAGTTAATTCCCTTTAGTAATTTAACCAAGTTTTTGTTCACCTTTGGGTAAGTCTGGGACTGAGGCCAAGTATTGAACTCACAACATCGATTACTTCAAGCAACACTTTTATCCACTGGGCTATATGTCTTATGAGAAAAAAGCGCGCACGTATGTAAAGTGGTTCTCTGCATGGTTGATATGTGTCTTTTCTTACGTCGAATGTGACATGTACGGAATATACTTCTTTTACGTTTGTTTTTATGTCTATATTTTTGAAAACAAGATTACTTGTCTGGTTTGGTTTGTTTTCGGCTGTTACACCTTCTTAGAATTATGAAACCGTCGACCCTGTTGTGGCTTATATCATTTCATCGATTATTTTGCTCAGATCATTTAGTAAATACATGAAGAATATTTTTCAATATATTTTATTGAATTTCAGCTGTATAAGCAGCAATTTTTTCAGATCAAACACACAAAGACCAATATTTTGTTTCGAAGACCCAAGTCCATCACTCACCACCATAACGCACATTCATACCATCAATTAAATTATAGAAACATTATGATTAATTTAATAATGTTACCTGTTATATATATATATATATATATATATATATAGCATGTTTCATTAAATAATATAGACAAATTTTGTTCCTTTCATATTGGCTGATAAGCTTAATCACATTATCATTGAAAGATGAAAGGAAAACACCATATTGATGCATGTTTAAATTCAATCTAAGCTTTTGGCTTACTTAAGCCATTATCAAAGATGACAATTTCAATATATCAAACAACACACGGACGAAACAATAATGATAGTCCGCCCTTGCTGCATGAAAAATTTCAAAGCAACGACAAACTCGTGTATACGAGACGTGGAATCGAAAATCGCGTCGCAGCTCGTGAAACATGCATTAATGAAAAATTGCTGCCTAAATACACACACACACACAATATATATATATATATATATATATATATATATATATATATATATATATATATATATATATATATATATATATTCAAACATGTTTGGTTAAATAATTTGTTTGTTTATTTTAGTTTTAATCCTTTCAAGTCCACGAATTAATTTCTTGCTGACTGAAAAATTGATTAAGAAAAGTTCCAAAATTTTCTTTCAAATAATTTTTATTTTCCCAAGTACTTTCTATCTCATCCGATGCCATCTTTAGGGCATTAAAATATCTGTGGACGTGTATACAGTAGCTCTGTAAATTCAAAATATATTTTTACTGTCTGTTCTTACAGCGTTTTTATTTTAATATTTAAAAATGAAACAGATTTTAGTTATAATATTTTACTTTAGTATTTTATATAAAACTTTGCTGAAACAAACATTTATAAACTTTGTTGCTATAATCATAGTTAACATTATTCATGTTTTGGCTGCAATTCTGCTTACTATTATTTTGATGAAGTACTAATTTATTTTCGACTAATATCTGTCTAAACTGTGAATGTGGATATGAGTGTTCCTGTAAATGTTCTGAGATTGAACTATGCTCATTCAAGTGAAACGTAAGCAGTCTCGTCAACGTCGTGTTGTAAAACCGACTTATGTATTAACATTTGTATCGGAGATGCAGTCTCCCAAATGACATTTAATTAATATATAATGCTGGTCATTTGTAGGATGTTAGTTAATAGAGAAGAATTGTTTTGGGTGACTGGGTTGGCTGTATTAAAGTTAGTATAATATATAATTAATTTTGATTTTTTTACTTGGATCTATAGGGGATATATTAGTGTTTATAATTTTAAAAATAATTTTTTCCTCCTGCTTACAGTTAGAATGCATTTCTATAGTAATTTGATATGTTTAGAGTTATTTGATGATGTATTATGTTCATTTTTATTTACATTTATATTCTCAATAGCTCGTCTAATTTGTTCATCAACTATGTAATTAGTAAAGTCATTAATAATGAGGGTTTATTTATTTATTTTAGTTCAGTACAGAAAATATATATTGATAAAGAATTTCTTTTTTCACGGTTTATTAAGATTTGTATAATAGCTGTTTTGTAATGGGAGATTCACTTTTATATTTAAGAGTTCGCGTGTTGATATAGTTGTTTTTTTTATTAAGAAAGGTAGTAAATGTATTAATATTATTATTATTATTACTATCAATACATCAAGAAATGGAATATTTTATCTTGGTTAAGTTCATATGTGAGATTTGGTATGGAGTTTTTTAAAAGTTTTCTTGTAGTTCATTTATTTTGTTTATGTCTTTGACCAAACTGAAAATGTCATCTACATATCTTAGGTAAATGGATATATTTTTGTGATATTAATGCGATAATTTCTAGGTTAGTCATATAGAAGTTGCTAAATGTTGGTCCTAGAAGGAAACCCATAGAAACACCATCGCATTGTACCCATATGTTATTTTTATGGTCACAGAACGGAACTTCTGTAGTGCACTTCAAGAGTAGTTTCCTTAAAATATTATGAGGAATTTTTAATAGTATGAGAGATGGATTGTTGTAGATATTCATTATGTTTATATATATATATATATATATATATATATATATATATATATATATCATTTCTTTGATTGGAACATTGGTGAATAAACTTACAAATTCAATAGAGGTTTCATTACTAGTTTCATTTTGTATTGTCTGGAATAGTTCGTGCGTTGAGTTTATGCTGAATTTGTTGGGACTCTATGGTGAAATTATTTCATTAATAACTTTGGTAAGTTAGTAAAGAGGAGAAAATTAATTCGTGGAATTGAACGAATTGAAACTAAGATAAATAGACATGATGGCTCTAAATTATTTAACCAAACCTGCTTGAATTAAAATATGCTGCCGAATGAAAACATAGAGGGTGCGATAGTTAAATTATCGCCATTTTATATTTTTAATTTCGCCCCGGTTTCTTTCCAACCTCGCTTTCCCTAAAAGAATTTCTACTTTCGTAAGTAAACATACACGGGCACGAAAACGTTAAAAAAATCGAAAAAAAAAATCGAAAAATAAAAATAAAAATACGGTTAAATCGATTACCTTATGTTTTTGAAAATAGACACCACATAAGTCCATCCCAAACCATAACAATCTGATCATAATTTACACAATATTCATTTATATAAAAAAATTCTATTCTCTGACATTTGAATTATAGCACTTTGTGCCCTCCACATGTTTTGACTCATCTTTCAACCACTTGATGAATATTAATGAACTTTCTCAAATTTAAAAGCCTTGATAAACCAATGACATCCTTGCCTTGATAAAGTCCCTCAGAGGACGAAACGTGTTGGCTAAGAATAGTTTTCCCTCTTCTCATTTTAATCCCCATATATATATATATATATATATATATATATATATATATATATATATATATATATATATATATAATAAAGATACACATAGTGAGCCAGATAAACCTACCTAGGTTTCACCTAAACGGATTGTCAGGGAAAGTTTGGCCAATAACCTTGTAACCAGTAACCCCTTGTGTACTAGTGGCATCCGGCCTTGCTTGGGGTGAAATGATTAAAAAATAGGAAATGTAATTAAAATATAAAAAACTCATTTATTTATATTCTAGCGATAAATAGCACGTACATCGGCTAAAATGTCTACACCAACAAATTTTAATATGGAATGATATCTACGTAGTAAACATGGAGATTTTTTTTTGTCTTGTTATCTGCAAGGAAAATATACCAAGCCAAAGGATCACTTGTTTTACTATGTAGATATTATTCCAATATGAAATTTGTACGATGTAGATATTTTTCATCGTAGATACCAAGCCAAAGTAGTACCTGTATTCCTCTGTGACACTTGTGCTTCCCGCTTTAAAGCGGTCTACCACTTCCATTGTCACAATGCAGATAGATGTTGCCGTCATTCAGGAAATAAAACTTTAGATTCCAGTAAGTATTTATTTGATATATTGATCAAAAGATGTCGATAATAACGAGAAACACAGTACAGTTATATATCTACCCTACGGTCTGATTATGCATATCTACAATAAAAAAAATATAATGTAAAAGTTTTTTTTTTTCTTATCTATAACTTTAGAACTGATAAAAACCTCCCTTTTCCCCCTTTACAGTCAGTACAAGAATCAAATGTGATTTTAGGCTCTATCTAAGAACCACTTCGCTTAAATATATCGGAAATGATACCACTGCATCTACTTTTAGGGAAAGAAAGCGTATTTGTTCTTAGAATTGTAACCACTTGTTTATGCCATTTTTCTCTCAGAAACTGAAAACTCGAAGAAACGTCGCTTAACCTAAAAGTAATGGCTTATTTCTAAACATTGAATCTCAGCAAGCAACAAATCATTTCCTTCTCTTCTTTTCCGCCTTGTTAACTGAATCATGTGTCTATTGTCTGTTGTCTTTGGCTTTCTGTTTTTGGCAAAGTTTGCTTCTAAGACTTTGGTAGATGTTGTCTGCCTTTGACACAAATTTCGCATGACTTGTGCTGTCTGTTTGATAAACGAGGCGACTTACTGAATACTGACGATGTCATAAATCATTTTCGATAGAACAACATGGATTACGAGTCTTTACTTTCAACGCATTGGCATGTTGCTAATTTTGCAGTAATATTTTAGATTCTGAATGCCTATAAACAACACCGGATGGAAGCGGGCGTGTGGCGGACTTTTTTTTTTCAATATCTATGGTCATGTGAGTAACTACAGTTGTTCATGTCTGTTCACTTGTGTCTTTTCTCTCCGAAATTCAGAGATGGAGACAAAAGAACAAGTTTAAGTTCTTTAATATGATTTGGTGCAAACAGACGACGTTAGGTATTTGGTTACTCATTTTTATTTCTAGAATCAAATTCATAATTAGCTATTAAATAATCAATAATTACGACTTTATATGAAAAGTTGTGAATCTATCGTCGTGCGCCGTTGATAGGCTATTTCGTAATGTAGTGCATTCGATCCTTACCCGGTATAAAACTAGTATGTCAGGCACCTCGAGGCGTTGTAATGGTTAGCAAGCTTGTCTCGCTAGAACAATTACGACTGAATAGTGAGGTCGATCTATACATTCGGCCTTGTATCACATCTAAGCTACGCTTGGAAAATCACTATAACTAGTATATCTCTGCACCAAAGTTAATGTCTGCAGATGTCTAGATAAATACTGTTGTATTTTACTGTTGTCGTGGATTTACCAAATATACATTGACGGCTTTGTCGTATGGACAGAAAATTACATAAATAAAAGAAAAGTAAAGACGGCTGGGGAGAAGTCTGAAGATCTTATTTTTATACAAAAAGAACTTTCTAAAAAATTGTAGACATATGTTTCATGTCTTCTCTACAACTAGGAAAGTTGTTAATTAATATAAATGTATGTCCTTATTCAGAAACTTAGCACTCATATTGCAAGAGGATCTGCTTTTCTTATGTATCGGGGAGCATCTTCTCATCACGGCGTCTTCCCGCAAACTGTATTCTGTACAGCTGGTAACCCTGAACAGTCAAATGAAATGCATACTGTTATTCATGATGACCGTAGTCTTTGAGTATAGAATCCAGAGGTTAGAAGTGAATATCTTGAAGACAGTAGAAAGCGTTGTTCAGGTTAGCAGTGGATATTTTGGTAAAAGTTGCAGAGCATAGTTCGTCCTTCTGTTTCTCTTCGCCTGACAAGCTGGACTGGACATTCGGGTAGAGTGAACAAAAATGGCCGCCTTTATACACGACGGATTGAATGTTCTACGTCTTCTGATTGGTTAACCATCTATTGGTGGACTATAAAGTGAGTCAAGGCATTTGGGTTAACTTACTAGTATATATACACAAAAAACTGCAACACATACGTGTTAGGGAAGATTGATTTCATATTTTTTGAGGTGGGAGGTACTTAAACCTGAAATATATTTCAGATTGTAGAAGGTTCCTTACAGTACCCCGTGCTTCCAAGAGGTTCCCCATCAAAGTGCAGACCAGGTTCGATGCTGCTTAACTTCTGTGATAGAACGGGGAAATAAGAGAAGAAGTAAAGTTGACCAACATTTGGAAGTTTCAAGACCTTTAACAATGAATTGAGGTTCCTCGACGTCTATATCGTGTATTACATCGTGGTATGTCTCGTGGATTATCTGTAGGCGACTGCGATATCAGAATTGCAGCAAAACACTCGCTATATTTGTAGGTTATATATTATTTTCCAAGCCGACTCGCCTGACACTTACTGGTACTCTTCATTTAGTAGAGGTGGGTGTGATGCCTAAAAAGTACATGCGCAAAATACATATTCATATATATATAATAATATTTTTATGAAATAATGAGTAGGAAGCCTTGTATGGTACTGGGACTTCAACATGACCGCCATTAAAACAAATTACATCAGTAGCATCTTACAATAGAGCAAAACGGTTTTGGTTCTTAACTAGAGAATATAATACATTCAAACAATCGCAAATGTCACCTGACCTTGCAGTCTCTTAATGTGCAACATAATTATAAAAAGACAGTTTAGTTTAAAAAATATATTAGGCTAGCAGTAGAGCCCGGCGTTGCCCGTGGATGTAACAGTAAGAGATAGATCAAGTATCGACCATCATAAAGACTGAAAAATAAAATTGACAAAGATTATTGTTTAAGGTTGACGGACACGCATGTCTTAATTAGTATATATATATTTTTTTTTTGTTACGAATTGGTCAAACCCAAACTCAAACAAAAACATTGTTTTCAATCGTTATGAGTCTACCGATTGAATAGAATTTTATTATAAACAATTGTCTTGTAAATGGAATTTTTAAAGCATTCTGAATGTAAAAATAAAGAAAAAAGTGTGCAAGACAATAAAAAACAGTTTTGTTGAAATCGGTTGAAAAATAAAGGAAATCCGATCCCATATATAAATGAACACACACACACACACACACACACACACACACACACACACACACACACACACAACCTGGGTTTTATAATAAGTATAACTCGATATGCGTTGCCTCGCTTCCATTCTCGCGACAGCGATGCCTCTTAATCGTGTTTTCAAATTGATTTTGTGCAAAAACAATTGTGTTTTTCCAAAAAAAAGTGATGTTTTGTTGAAATCGGTTGAAAAAATGTAGGAGATCCAATCCCATATATAAACGAACACACACACACACACAGACAACCTGGGTTTTATAATAAGTATAACTCGATATGAGTTGCACCCCCTTTCATTCTGGCGATGCCTCTTAATCGTGTTTTCGAATTGATTTCGTGCAAAAACAATTGTTTTTCCAATTTTTGGCGCTGTCAGACCCACCGCAAGGTAATGTTACGTAGTCCTGTGAAGTTTTGTTGAAATCGGTTGAAAAATGTAGGAAATCCGATCCAATATATAAACGTACACACACACACACACACACACACACACGCACGCACGCACGCACGCACGCACACAACCTGGGTTTTATAATAAGTATGATCAGAACTACAGATCCAAGAAACTGATACGAATGATGTAGCAAAAAGCCGTAGCGTTTATTACAAAAAATAATTTAACATCTTAGGATTGGCAGTGAGCTAATAAGGCTTTCGTTCGTTCCTTATTTTCTTTTTGCCAGTAAATAGTGAATAAACAGAAGGTATTATGTCTGCAGATGTTTTTAAGAAGCTAATTTGTGATTGAATAAAGCAAAACGTAAAGCAAAACGACATTTTTAAAAATCGTTAGCATGGTTTGTTTAGAGAGGAAATCCTTGAAGATCATCGGTATATAAGGAACCATTTGAACGTATGATTACGACTGCGCACATCGTGCATCTATAAGATTATGTAAGATGTAGCCGTAAGTCCTATGCTAACAGTTTCTTCTCTCACACTTCTTGTTTGTTGAACTCATTTCCTGTTCGATGCTTTGCAGCCAAATTTAATCTGCAAAATTTAAATACAAATGTCAATCATTATCTACTGTTCACGTGATCACTCTCATCTCTTTCTGTTCATCATTAATGTTTCTGTTCCTAATTCGTCCACGTCCTGTATTACCCCTTGTTATTTAGGGGCATTACTATCCTAAAAAAACAAAAGAAAATACTTTTATAGTTTATTAACAAAATTGAGTATTGTGGGGGGGGGTCAATATCTTATATTTTGATGTGAATCATTTTCAAAAATATTTCTTATTTAATTACGCTGTATTTTTTCCAATGTTAACACACCAAATTTTGCTATGTGTGACGAAGATGTGTTTGCAACAGAACCGAGCCGTCACGTGTTATGAAATGCCTTAGTTTTTCAATGGCGATTCTTGTTTTCATATCGCAGCTTCTTCTTTTTACATTTTATCAAGATTCCAGGCGAAATATTCCAAAAACTAAACTGACATGTCTCGTGTGTTTTTTTAAATGAACTAACGAATAAAAATATCAGAAAGCTGATCGATAACTATATCAGTATGCATACATTATATATATATATATATATATATATATATATATATATATATATATATATATATATATATATATATATGTTGAAACTTGAATAAAGCATGGAATAATAATAATACAACACAAAATGTACCGAAACAAAATGTATTGACACAAGAACGTGTACACAATATTTACAGATAGTTTGGTATATTCTTGGGAAGACCGTTCCTGTAGAATGGGTTGACTTAGTCGCAGTCGGGCAGAGTCTCTGATATTTATTTGCATTTAAAATACAAAATACGGCACAAGGCCAAAAAGGGGGATGGGGAATGACGGTCTTCTTCTGTCTTTAATCTAAAACTTAGCTAGTCACAGACACTGACTCAAACATGCCAACAATAATCCAATCACCAAAACAACACATTCACTCCTACCTTTCTTACTACGTCCACCATAATACCTCAGTTTCTCTATGAAGTCCTAACTAGTTCCCTTATTTACAGATATTGTTCATGGGGGGAGGGTCATAAAATAACAGCTTTTAAAATCCCCAAATGAATATTTACAAAGTGAATTAATTATTTACAATAAACTGAACAAAATTGAGTTAGTAATAAAACCCCCACAAACTATGAATGTGGCAGAAATATCAGTTAACCGGACGAAATCGATGCGGGACTAAGAAAATAAGGACACATTCAAACCAACAAGCGTTCACACAAACACTCACTCATTCATACACAACAACAAATACGAAAAAAACACACACACGAAACGAAAGGCGCCCCGCATCCACCAGAAAAACTGACATCACTAACCACCTAACGAGGGAGGGATGGGGAATTAAACAAAAAAAAAAAATAGGGACAGAAATAAAAGGGACCAATGAGCTTACATACCCTAGCTAAGTTAACCTGGAAAAAAAGGAAACTAAAAATTCAAAAAAACGAAAACCTAGTCTAGCCTAATATCTGGGTGGGTTGCCTATGTTCAACCCTGTTAGGACAAAATTCTGTACCTAACCGACAGCCAAATGCCACTCTAGGTCAGCCCCTTTCACTCTACACATTCGCGCAAGATTCACCCACCTTTTGCCGAATTCTGATGATGGGAGCCGCCGCCTTTCCGTCCTAATCTTGATTTTAATCTGATGCTTAAAATACAAGATCAGTTGGGAAGAGGTGAACTTCTCGCCTTCATAGAATCCCTTCTGTCGCGTCGTCCAAATCACGACTCGCATAACCCCTAGTAAGCAACAGAACACATAGTGTTCAGCCTTCGTCAATTGCGATACCACATTGCTACAAACAGAACTGGCTTCCAGGACAAAAAAACTTTCCCTGCCGCATGCGAACCATGAGGCCTTCAACAAACTTGCATTAACGGCACTACCGTCTTGCACTGAAAAAAGGCGTGACCAATGGTCTCGACATTCCCAGTACAGCGACGACAGTTTGGATATTTCTCCAAGCCTGCTGAACAAAGTCTTTTGCCGACCCAGAGGGCCCCACGAATCATCAGCCAGGTAAGACATTTCAACCCAGGCGCTCAAGGCCATATCAAGCGAGCCTCCTGCTTCGTAAGACCGAGCTCGTCGATCAGAGTATCTCGAACGGACCCCCTAACTAACAATCGATATAATGCCTTACGAGACAACGCTTGGGCGTCGGAGAGGCCATCCGACGTCCGCAAGAGGAGTTTCAAAGCACGACGACATTCACGGTAGAAGGAGCATTCGACACGAGGAGTACGGCCGGCCTCCTCCTCGCACGAGTGCACACTTCTCAGGGATGGGAAATATTTTCGGACATCTTCTTTCCAAAAGGTGCCCACCTCATCCAAACCACGACACATTCGGTCTAGAAAGGTAATGCGAAGCATATATTGACGAATCTCAATGCTAGGCATACCCAGACCGCCCTCAGAGGGATGAAGGCAACAGATCTCGCGAGATGCCATATGGGCCTTGCATCTCCACAAGAAAGAGAACAAAGCCTGGACTAATGAGATTAGTCGGGCATACGGGAGTGGAAGCGCAGAAAGACCGTAGAGGAGGATCGGATAGATGTGTGAAACACAAACTTCCGCCCTTCCCTTCAGGGAAAGTCTCCTCCGAGACCACAGATTACCCGCGGCCTCGGCCTGCCCTTGTACCTCCGACCAATTCATTTCCAACTGGAGATCAGGACCGAACCAGACGCCGAGTATCTTGATCGGCCCATCCGTCCAGAGGAAAGGTCCGGGAAGAGAAACTCCCTTCCACGCACCCAACCGCAAGCCCACAGACTTATCACGGTTGATCTTGGCCCCTGTCACCATCTCATACCCACTGATCTGCTTACTGACTTCGTTAATCTCGGCTCTGCTCGACACAAGAACCGAAACGTCGTCAGCATAGGCAGAATACCTGGTCGAGGTGGAAGCACCAGGCAGCGAAATTCCGCGTAGTACCGGATTCGCCTTTAACTTGCGAAGGAATGGCTCCAAGGCAAGAACGTAAAGCAGAGGTGATAGCGGACAACCTTGACGAATGGAGCGAGACAATACGAAAGGCTTCGATATTACCCCATTCACTTCCACCAGCGCACCGTGGGTCGCATACAAGAGTCGGATCCAGGAGTGAAAGTCGGCTCCGAAACCGGCCGCCGAAAGGACAGCCTCCAAAAATCGATCGTCAACCCTATCGAAGGCCTTGGACTGATCTAAATTGATCAGCGCGGCTTCACTGTCGACTTGTTCTAAGATCAAGCGTACCATATGAAGGTTATCCTGAATAGTCCTGCCCTTCACAGCACAAGTCTGTTCAGGGCCAATCAGACTAGACAGGACAAGCTGCAAACGGTTGGCTA